ACCCTTCCTCAGAACAGTTCTGAGGAAGGGTCACCAGACCCAAAACGTTAACTCTGTTTTCTCCTTCACAGATGCTGCCAGACCTGCTGAGCTTTTCCACAACTTTTTGTTCCTGATTTACAGCATCCGCAGTTCTTTCAGTTTTTATTTAATATAACTGTGGACTTGCTGGGCCATTTCAGAGGAGTGTTAAGAGTCAACAACATTTTTATGTGTCTGCAGTCACATGTAGACCATATCAGGTAAGGATGGCAGATATCCTTCTCTGAATTGTTTTACTAACAATTGAAAATGATCTGATTGTCACCATTGTACTAAGTGTCATTCAATTAATTCAATTTAAATTCTGCTATTAGCCATGGTGAGATTGAAATGTGTGTCCCCAGAACATTAGCCTTAAGTTCTGGATGACTAATCTAGTGACATTACTACTACACCACAGTGAACAGCCCCTGTGCCAGTACAGATGGATCTTTGTTTTAAACCTAGTGGGTTATCTCTCCAGATATAATAAGTGTGGTTAGTAGTAATCAGGTCTGCAGAATCTGAAGGACAGTTCTTCATGTTTCCTGCACTGGGTGGATACAGGAGACGTGTTGGCTGTGCTTTACGTACTGAGCTTGCATTGTGCTGCTGTCTCCAGGCATTCTTTGTGGGCTCCAGCACCACAGTTGGAACAAAGGTAGCCCTGGAAAAAGATCCCTCTGTGGGGGAAAAAGTACAAAAGAATATTAACTAAGGGACTGAAACACAAACAGAAAATACTGTAAGTCCATCAGAGATGGAGGAGAAAGCGCGGTTTGTGCATGAGTGACCAAACAGATCAGCCTCAAGCCCGACACATGTGTTTTGCTGAAACACAGATGAACCACCAGGACCTGTGCTAATACTTCCTTTAAATCAAACATAACATATTTTGTCTCTGATACCTTTACATCTCCTGCCCAACCCCTGCTCATGTGGGTGTGACCCTCTACGACTCATCCCTACACACGTCAGTCAGTTATTCAATGATCAGATGGACCGGTAGTAAAAACACACAGAGAATTCCCTCAGGAATATGGACCAGGAGCTCCTGCTCTTACCTCAGCAACATTCGACATGCCTTGCAGTTGGTGAATTTATCAAAAGTCGTCATTTGGAAGTTGTGGTAATTTGCTGTTGCTTTCTCGGGTTTAATGTTTGACCTGAAAAAGAAAGAATTTAACGGAGACAAAGCCAGTACTGCTCCTTAAACCTTTTATTGAAACTGTTAGTTTTGTTATCTCCTTTGTCCTGAGCCTGGTTTGTGATACTCATACTCACTAGAGTCAGTAAATACCCTCACACACACACAGGGACCCAGTGTGAGTTACCCAGCAGCTCTGGGATGCACACTGTAAGGCATCAGACTGAAGCCAGGATGAACAGGATTCAATGACAAGGCAGGGATTTTTACTGTCGTACACACAGCGGTAGAGGAGGAGACCATTCAGTCCCTCTGCTCCGTGTCATACTGACATGAGAAGACCTTTCAGCCCCTCTGCTCCACCAGAGACTAGCATGAGTAGATCACTCAGCTCTTCTTACAATCCTCGTAGAAAGAGTTTTCACTGGCTCAGACAATTTTTAATTACTGCACTGTTTTTTTTTCTGGTGGAGGATCCCGATTCCCACTCCCATGTGAAGGGAAATGCTTCCTGACATCATCCCTGAATAGTCTGGGTTTGAAAGCTGCACCCCATTGCTCCCAAATAGACCCTGCCACACCCCTCAGCCAGAATAAATAGTGACTCTCCATTGATCCTATTGAATGCTCTAATCATCTTAAACATCCCAATGGAACAGCCCTTCACTGACCTTCCCTGGTACAGGAACATACACCTGCTTTATCAAACTAGAGTTTAGAAAGAGAGGGGATAAATCCAGTTGAAGCAAACATCAACAAAAGGAGGTGGGGGGGAACAATCCTGTTGTGTGTGCGTTAAAACAAACAAACAACAGTAGGCCATTCAGCCCTTCAGACCTGCTTTGCCATTCAACAAAAAAAACCTGGAGAATAGCAGGGCTTGGTTTTCATGCATTACCCCAGGTAGGGAATTATAATGGAAAGCGGTAGAATGGAGCTACCAACAGACAAGGAAGCACCGTAGGGGTAGGGTAGCTAGTTAATGAGGTGAGGTTGGTGAGATAATAATGAACAGTCAGTATGGATTGCAAAAAGGGACATTTATTTGACCAATTGATTGAGTTCTTTCAAAAGAGAACAGAGACCAAAGGAAGGTAATATTGTAGGTGTAACTTTTTTAGATTTCCAAAAGGCCTTTCTGATTATGTACCATATTATAAACTAATGAATACAGTCAGAGTACACGGATCAGGAGAAATTAGCACAATTAGGCAGCTAGGTGAATAAAAATCCAAAAGCAGACAGTTGGGGTAAAGCACAAAGATGACAAAAGGTTGGAAATGGAATCCCTCAAGGGTCAGGTCTGGGACTTCTGCTTCCAATCGCTTCACATCAAAATCTGAAACCAAAACAGAAAGTGCTGGAAAAACTCAGCAGGTCTGGTAGCGTCTGTGGAGAGGGGAACAGAGTTAATGTTTTGAGTCCAATGTCCCTTCTGTTCTGAAGAACAATCTCTGGACTTGAAATATTAATTCTGTTTTTCTCTCCAGATGCAGACTGACCTGCTGAGTTTTTCCAGCAATTTCTGTTTTTGTTTCACAACCTCTGCATTTTCCGATGACCCCAAATTGAGGGAACAGTCAATACTGAGTGTTGAAACAAATTACAAGATGCATCAATAAACTTGTGGAACGGGCATCTAATCAGCCAATTAATTTTAACATGGATAAATGTTACGTAATACTTTGGTAAGAATCAATATTTCTTGAAAAATGTCCAAGTGTCCTTATAATTTAACCCTTTTATACCTGGAATCACTCTGGTGAATCTACACCTACTGTCTCCAAGGCTGATACCTCCTAATATTATTCGGCAGGGTTTAAACTAATGCGGCACGGGGGATAGGAACCAGAGCAGTAGGTCATCAAATGAAATGACCGAGGAGGACCCAGAGACTAAGACCCAGTAAGACTAAGAGGAAGATCACACAGGGGGAGGTTACTGAACACAGTGGGACTGGCGGTCTGAGGTATGTTTGTTTTAATGCAAGGAGTATGACAGGTAAGGCAAATGAATTTAGAGCTTGGATTAATAAATATAACTAAGATGTTGTAGTTATTACAGAGACATGGTGGAGACAGGGACAAAGCCAGAAGATTAACGTTCTGGGATTTTGTTGTTTCAGGCGAGGTAGACAGGGATGTAAAAGAAATGGGGTGTTGCATTACTGATTAGGTTTGAAGTGTACTAGCGATGAGGAGAGATTCAAAAAATTTGGTTTGTTTTCACTTGAACATCGAAGAATGAGGGTGTAACCTGACAGAAGTTTACAAAATTCTGAGAGGCATGGATAGAATGAATAATTAGAGTCTTTTTCCCAAGGTAGAAATGTCAATTACTAGGGATCATAGGTTTAAGTTGAAAGGGGGAAAGTTTAAAGGAAATGTGAGACGCAAGTTTTTTACATAGAGGGTGGTAAGTGCCTGGAATGTGCTGCCAGAGAAGGTGGTGGAGGTGAAAACAATAACAATATTTGAGAGGCATCTTGGCAAATACATGAATAGGCAGGGAATAGAGGGATACGGACCAAATAGAGGCAAAAGGTCTTTCGTTTAGAAAGGTGTCATGCATCAGTGTAGGTTTGGTGGGCCGAAGAGTCAGTTCCTGTGCTATATTGTTCTTTGTTCCTCCTGAGGCACTCAGCCCAAAACTGAATCCAGTGACTCTCAATGGAGTTTAAAAACAGCTCATTCCACTGTCGAACATCACTTTGACACTTAAATTATTCAGTTCCACTGAGATAAAGAGCAATGTGGTGTTAACCTTTTGCACTTTTAACTCTAAATGAACTGTTACCTGGATCCTCAAATTTCTCTACTCCTCCCCACTTCAGAAATATTCTGAACTATCTGTTGTTCAGATTGGATCATCTAACACTGAACTCCACCTTCCACAGATTTTCCAGTTCACTAAATTGACCACACATGTCATTTCACGAGAAAGGAACATATTCTGGTCACTGCAAGTAATGGCATCATAACAAACTCGCCAAGTTGCTCAGAGAGTGAGTGAAATTTCAGTTTGGATCAAGTACAGCAGTCAGCCTGCAACTTGTCACTGCAGATACAGGACTCACATTGCCATTTCAAACTGCTCCATCCACTTCCTCTTCATCTCCTCCGTTTTACAGAACAGCTGGAAGCCCTGCTTCCCCTGAAGGTGAATTAAATAGAAGGCGTAGGACCACTGAAAAACACAAACAGCAAAACTGCAGGTTATAAAGACAGGGAAGCAATATCAGGCACACTGATTCCATAAATTGGAGCACAAGGGGCAACTTACCACCTGAGGGGAAATTCACCGCTCGGGGTTGGGGTGGGGAATTCACTGCCCAGGGTGGGGTGGGGGGAGGGGGCCAGGAGTTTCCACCCCGGGGAGGGGGAGAATTCACCACCCA